AAAATCCCTACCAAACACACTCTAAATTTAGCCCCTGTTTGGCCCCCATTATATTACATTCCATTACATTAATTTTTTCTCTCTCTTCATCTCAACCATACATTCATCAAATAAAATAATAATACACACAAATCAAAAACTTTTCAACCACACATCTCCCATCAATCACTATTCTAAAAATTATCTACCCCCCAAAAATTTAAATTAATGGGGGGCAAACAGGGGCTTAGTAGCTTCATGAGAGGAATTGCACATCTTGCTATACCCCAAACTCATTTTTCAGCACTAATTTAGAAGTAATTTCGATCACTCAAATATTTATAAAACATTCTTGAATTTCACATTATATCCTTATACTCACAATTGAGTTCTATACTCTAAAAGGTTAACCAAATTGTTCACACGGTCAATATAAACAGAAATGTTGGTCAAATTTTTTTTTATTTCTACTCGAATATTNNTTTTTTTTATTTCTACTCGAATATTTCAACTTTAAATCACTTGCTTTCCTAAACATGTCCCATTAAATCCAATAAATTATAGTTATTGGTAACATGCTAAAATAGCAACATTAAAATAAATTCTCGAGAAACAGTCAAAAGTCATAAGGGTATATATAAGGTTATATAACCTTAGGGTGCTACACATTGAGGAATCAGGGATCCATTCATTCATTTACCTTGTATACGTTATAAAATCACACGTGATAAGAAATATGTGCTATGGTGTCTTCTCCTTCTCATAAGGTGTATGCCCTATTTTTTAAAAATAAATAATACCATTCAAATTCTAATTCAGGTATTCCATAATATCTAACTTGAGTTTTCCTTATATTTATTTCTCTATGCAAACTCAAATTGATAACTCAATATGGCTACAAAAAATGTTTAATGGATAGCAGTTTCCATTTCGATTATTTATAATAATCTTATCTTGATATTTCATCAAGGTGGCAAGATCATATACACAACATGATTATTTTATCTTATCTCAGCATACTCCAAAATTATTTAAGGCGATTGCTCGTTTGAGTGAGTCGATCTCAACATGTTCGATATACTTTATATGTGCATGTAAATAATTACATGGTATTAGGTTACTCATGAACTCACAATTTTTCATTTGTCGGCATACAAAAAAAAAAAAAAAAACTCACTCAAATACACAAAGTATCATTTTCTACATAATTTCCAGAGATTTGACTCCATCAATAAATATATCATCTAGACATCCTCAGAGTATGATGCTTACATATAATCATTTCTATAGATATATATCACAAGAACACTTGTTTTTTTGCTGATGTCTCTCGCAAAAGTACTATCGAGTGTTTAGTTCCACTTGATATTTGAGATTCTCAACATATGCTATAGTTGCATAAGTATAACGAATTTTATATTCTCAACTAGTATCATTAGATGCTCAGTACATTTATACCTTATAATTTCTTATGCTATCATGATATATTCTACAAGATCTGATTTTTGTTATTCGATATAGCAAGTGAGCACAAGTCTAATAACTATTTATGCTCGACTAGGTCTCTTCCTTATTTAACATGTGTATATTTTTTTCTAATCATAAGCTATTCTCTTGACCATAAATGGAATACCTAATAGCAACATCCAAGCATCACAATATCCTTTCCTCGGATAACATTAATACCTTTGACTAGATCCATTACAAGTCAAAAGTTAGGATAAGTATATATCATACATAACATGCTTCAATCTCCTAACTATACTAGGTATGATTCTTTGGATATATCTTTTGTGCACTTATGGAGTACTAGATATATGAAGACACATATTGAAGCCTTTTGATATGGGTCAATAGGGTTGCAATTGTCACACCCCATTCATATAGATAACAATATACTAGCCAATGTAGGAATACAATTGATGACTTGACCTAAACATCCAAATTCACCTACATTTTTTTTTTACAAAATTCCAAAAGTATATCCGAAACCAAATATCATAAAATCATAGTCCAACATAGTTATCTTGAGGTTGTAAAAGTATTTAAATTCCATTTCAAAAGTCATACATGATCCCAAAAATATAATACAATTGGAGTCCATAAAATAATCATAAAGGTCGTCATCCATGTACATCGAAATATGAAATCCCTGTAAGAGCTCCACATCCAGCCATGTCTCCTACGAAGTTCCATGCTCACCTATAGTGCAAGAACTACATAAGTCAATGCTCAGTGAGCAAAAATCATGCATGTCATGAGTATGAATGATAATAGTATATGACACCATGCCATTTACTTTAAACATCATGCTCAGATATTCGTCAAAGTCGACTCGAAATAATTTCATTTGAAATCTTTCATTAGGCCCTTAACCCACCTACTTTACACTGGATAGAGCTCTACACAATATCAATATCAATAATCAATAATCTAATGGCCAATATAACATAGATACTGACGAGTGGACCATCCTCTTGTGACCACTAGAGGCCCATGCCCTAACTGCTCCTATGATCACCCCAAAAGTATCCCATCGGTAGCACCAATAACCATAATATCACAAAGGCACAGTCGAATGGTCCTTCTGCATGTGATCACCAAAGGCCCATTCCCTATCTACCTTTACAATTAACTAGGAAGTATCACCTGTGATACCAAAACATATCACATAAGTATGCCCCACATGCATTGGTGCCCTAGTAGTGGTCAATAAAATATTTTTTGAGGAAAACTCAATTTTACAATCATGTTGTGCATGCTAGATTTTCAACCATGGACGTATGTTATGCATGAAGATGAAAACACTCGTGAATGACATACCTAATCAAAACGGATGTCAATATATTCTGAAACCACATACTCTATGATCATAACCATCGCATAATATACAATGAGTTCCTTATCAAAGTTATGTAAAAATTCCAACATTACTATATTGCAAAAACTATTTTCTTGTATCGTAGTTACAAATGGATTTTTACTTACCTTTTTGCCCTTGTGTGTGTGCGTGTAATACCCCGAATATCACATTACATTTGGCCAATATGATTCATGCATTTCATGCTTGATAATGTCAATTGCAT